AAGGACTTCTGCACACACTTCAGACCTGAGCGCAAGTACCTTCAGGTTGCTGGCTTGTACATGAACTGCTATGCTGGCAGCCCTCAGCTCACTGTGCCGAGGTTAATACAGTCCTGCCACAGTGACGTCGAGTGCATTTCCTGAGGTTGTGAAATTCCGATCATCCAGCAGATGGCCACAAGAAACTGGTACAAGAATGACCCATTCCTGGATCTTGGCTCGGTGACAGTCAGGCTGGAGATAAGGACTTACATACACTTGGCTTGGCGCATTCTTAATTCCACTGTTACCCTGCCAGGAAGCTGGACGAGCCTTTCGGACCGTCTCATTTTCTGGAAGCAGGTGCCCTTGGCTTGCATGCCTGCCTGCCTCCACCCATCCAATCAGTGGCTGTGCAAAGGAAGGAAGCCTTTGAAGGATGGGAGGGTCGAAAGGGAAGGTGCATGGCTAGGAGAATAAGAGAGGGAAACAGCGCTGCTTCCCTGCGCCTACACCAACGCGGGATGCAGAACACCATTAATCTAAGGATCCAAGCAGGATGTTGGGCTTGCTGCACAAGAGCACGTGCACAAATTCAGCCATTCGTTGCGCATTCCTTCAGCTTCAGCAGAAGCGGATTCACTGCAAGCACGCTAAACACTGGAGCACTATGGAGTACTTCCGTCCCAAAACTCAAAGTTTGTCAAGCAAATGCCAGAACGAACACATAGCTTTGCAGTAGCTTGGAGACAAGTTGGATCTAGATGTCACGCCTGACGCCAATTCAAAGGTCTCAAAAAGCAACGGGAACAAAAAGCACGAATCCAGCTGGATGTTTTTGACACTTTTCAGTCTTACTTTCTGCGCCTTTCTACACTCGGCTCGCATGATGAAGGCTTTGAATCTGAAATTGTCAGACTGGACAAACCTTGCAGAGAGGTCTCTCGTCTAGGTCCCCGGGTCTCAATCCTGCCGAATGCATCCAGCCTTGGGGCAGAATCTGCCTTAATGCTTTTACATTATTTCCATCGAACCATGACGTTCTTTGCAACGACCAAAAGCCACATCAACGTCTGAGATACAAGATCCTCATGAAAAGTTGAGGTCTGAGAACATCCTTCTGCTGTCAACGTGGGCAATAAAGAGGGTAATTCTTGTCATGCCACGACTACACAGCCGCCTTGAAACTATCACGAGTTGACAGGAGCACTACCCTGGCCAGAAGCTAAGTGCTGTGGTTCACATTCTCGCCTGCTCTATGCTCTGTTTCCCTGCGCAGAATGCAAAGGTGGCCATGGGTCATTGTCGCCATCGCTGTGGCTCTCTGCATTGGCTGCTTGTTGAGGCGCACATTGCATTGCGTCGACACGAAGCCAGTCTGACGTACCTCAGGTGGTTCCAGATGCCCAAGCGAAATGCGAGCGTCAGGACCTTAAAGCTTACGATCTAGCAAATCTGCGGTTCGCCACGGCATGGGGTGACATACGGACTTGTCCTGCTGTCCACAGATACGCAGCTCCAACGGCTGGGTGCTGGGCTTAGCCCTTTCCTGGGTTGCCAACATGAATGAACTTGAGCAATGTTTGAACTTCCACTGCTTCAGGGTGGCAGTTACGATGCCAGCCTGAAGGTGTGGAAAGCTTGTTTGGTCTACAGAGCTTGCCATGACTTGCAGGTTGCAGCATGGCGGGCATGAGCTTTGTTCGTGCCGAGCTGTTTATCGCGGCACGCACAGGGAGACATGGCTGAGATGCAGCCGCTGAAGTCCCCGTCACCAATGCCAGCAGCTCCACTGCGCGCGGCTTTAAAAGCAGTTTTGATGTCCATGCATGGTTCTCTTCTGTCTAGCGTTAGGTCAGCTGGTGACGGAAGCTGGATGTCGGCTTCGATCTCAGTTTTGCAATTTGCATTTATCATGAGTTGTATGCTCATTTCTTGAAGCCGCGTGCGCAGGACAAGCGATATGCCAGGGATGTGCTGGACACCTAGCTGAGAATTTCCCGTTCCTGAGCAGTTACAGTTCCGCAGCTGAGGCAGGATCTACCCACCCTGCCTACTGACGTGGACATACAGATGCCAGATATGCAGCAGCCCCGATCCCAGCAGGAGCGACGGCAGCAGTTCGCACATTCTCACACTCCATCACGAAAAGACAAAACAAGAAGTTTGCAAGCTAATTTAATCTTATGGTGCATGCTCGTTTAAATTGCTGATCAAGCTGAGGTTTGCAGTGTCGTCTGGAGTTCCGCAGCAGCCTTTTCTGTTGCAGCCCACGCATCGGTCATCATCAGTCATTGGTTTGGCATCAGTCCTTTTCATGCAGAGGGGCGAGCCTAGAATAAGGACGAGCCATGGGACCAGTACATGGAATCAGTGTTACTGACAGCACACGTCTTTGATTTCTTGTCCATCCATGTGGTCAGCATAGCAGTGTGCAGGTCTGTTTCTCGAAGCCTAGAGCGGGCAGCATTTGCAGGTCGAGGCACCAAAGGATCATCAGCCAGACCCGAATCGGCTGGAACCTTTCAGTGACGTCATAACTTGACAAGTCAGTTGCCGACTCTCGCCCTTCACATGTAGTTCATGAGGCCCGGTGTCTGCTGTGCGTGGAGCCCAGCAACCTTTGTACTGGTACCTGCGGTGCGCGGCAGGTAGCTGTACATCAAAGCACTTGCTTCTTTGCAGCCTTAAACCTGCAGTGAAGCTGCAGGCTCCTCTGCTGGAAAGAAAATCGATGGTAATTTTGCGCAAGCTGGGCCTGCCTGCTCTAAGCATTGCCATGCCTATCTGGTATGCAAAATCCAACGCTGCCCTGGCTGGCGGCCTTCCACAAAACCAACATGAAGGATTCTTTGCTGCCCAGCGGCATCCGGAACCAATGGTCAAAACAGAATCATGCAACCCAGACCGACGGTTTGCAGCCCTGGCAATCATTCGGTACATTGCTAAGCCTTGAAAAGTTGTTTCGAAACAAAGCGCAGGAGCGAAGTAGCTGAGAAGCGGCTAAGTAACACCATGGTGGCGAGCTGTGACCTGCTGGTGGCAAAGATGGAAGAGAACTGTTTGAAATGGGTCACTGAGTTCCATAGTTTTCAGCAGATTGTGTCATAGGTGTGCTCTGCAAACCCGAACCTGAACTTGAAGCGCTAGTGACCTCTGCTGTTAGACCCTGGTATGCAGCTTGAACCCTGAAAGCATTCTCTCAGCATTCTGTAGACCGAAAACAAACCTTAGCGAGGTGTTTTGGCCGTTGCCATGCCGTCCCTTGAAAGATTCCAAGATGCTCGCTACAGTAACTAGTGAAGCCTTCAGATGGATTTGGTCCTTGACAATCTGCCCATATCTGCGTAGGCTTTGAATTTTTGAAGTACTTGCTGTGGAGACAGAAAGCCAGATTTTCGTAGGTACTTGGTAGCAAGAACCTCTGGTGTCAGCAGGATTTGATAGTGCTTTTGCTTTGCAACTAGGCTAAGACGACTCCGTGTCCGCGAAATTCACCGTGCATGTGCAAAAAAAGGCATCAAAGAGGTCCTCCCAGCTAGCATGAATGGCTGCCACAACAGCCCGGGAAGAACCAGAAGGAGATTCGCGACGTCTTTCAGTAAACTCAACAATATCGATGGGAAGTTGCAGGTGTGGAGCTGATAAGGGAACCTCTTCGAGCGCAGCCAATGCCATCGAAGCGTTGATACTCTCTTGGGACAAAACTCTGAAGACTTTGAGTACAAAGGATTTAAGAGCTCCTCCACCAACTTTTCATCAGCAGCTTGCAAGATGCCACGAAGTAGAGAACGGGCATCAAATACAACTGCCGCATCGTGACTCAAGACTTCTGGCTGGAAACTTGTCCAGTACGGTCGCGGGCCCTCAACGCTTACAGGAGGTTGCCAGGCAGCATGAGGCCCATTCACATATTCGCCTGAAGCACCAAGGTCAGCGCCGAGATAGGCACGCCTATATGTTTCAACGTTGTAGAGGTGCACCTTTAGGCGTTTGGAGGACCTATGGTCCACCATGCAATACTGGCATACCGTACGCCTCGAAACAAGGCTCAATTCAGATTCTGCACCATGAACCCATGGCACTGTTGGAAGAGTGACTTGCCACATTCCGGGCATTGAGTGTGCATGTTTGACTCATGCTCAGTGAGTCTACAAATAGCAATCCCTCTTCCTCTGCAACCGCAAGTGCACAAGCAAGGCATTTACAGCCATCTTGCTGAATTTGTCCACGACTCAGGCATGCTATGCGGAATCTACACAAAGCTCTGCGCATATCACCAATCTGGCAAGCAAAACGCCGAAGAAAGGAGACAATCGCATTTGTGTCGTCAACATCAGGGACCTGCAGCTCAGCCCAACATGCATCGGCAACAGCTTTAACACTGGAAACCGCACGTAGCCGCACTCTGTCAAGTAATAGCCCTTGTCGTTTCGGAGTGCCTGATACAGGTAGCGAACTGTTTCAGCAGTCATCGCATCAGCAGGCTCCAGGACTCCCATAAGTGAGCACACCTGACCATTGGTAAGCCCTGCTCCACTGAATCCAGTGATAGCATCACATGTTTGCCGCATGAAACCCGTATACGTGGCTTCATATGCCTGCTGCTCTTGTCTAGTTGCCAACGCCCATGCCCCAGCACCAACCAAAAACTTGCGAAGAGGTATGCGGTCCACAGCTCGAAGCTTCTCTTGGGTTGACAAGAATGGGTTACGCAGCAACCGAGATTTGACAGGTGCAAATGCAATTTGTGCAAGGGTACGCCGCCGCTGCACATCAAGAAAGTCACATCCACTGAAGTGAACAACTGACCCGAGATGAACATACCTGTCAGTAAGCGACACTTGTACAGCTTCTCCCGAGCAGAGCTCAACTTCCAACTTCGGGCAATCACTGCTCAACCATTGTCTTCGCAAAGCCTGACTGCCCGGGCCATACAAATGCAGCATAACTTCAGTTTTCTGCTGCGAGAAGTTCGTGCGAATCCCTACTTTTCCAATTGCGGCTTCAACGTGTCTGATCAAGCTTCCAACCTTAGTATCAACTCGGACGCAACAGGTGACCCCGGCAGCACAGCCAAATCATCGAGCCATGTCGAGACATCACACCCTGGCGCCTCAACACGGAGCTCACTCTGGTTAACAAGCTGCTCAATCTCAACCAAGGAGTCAGCAAAAATGCCTTGGAAGAAAAGGTCAGCAAAAGGTGTTCCTGCGAAAGGTCAGCAAAAGGTGTTCCTGGGCATATGCCAGTGCGGGTGGCCCATACTTGATTGGAGCTTCGTTCCATCGTGAAACATGTTCCCTGCCACGAATCTACTTAGTACGGGGGCACCAGACTCCTGAAGAATCGAGGGTCAACAAAGAACAGCAAAAGGCTCCTGCTGCTGAGCTTCGTCGAGCGCATCAAGCAAATCAAGTAAGCCACTAATATCCACTAATGTCTTCCGCATTGAAATGGCCATCGCAGAGAAACTGACGGAAAGCACTATGAAAGGCAGCATTTCCATCAAAGTACACTACCCCTCCAGAAACTTTTCTTGACGCAACCGCCTGAAATTGGTTTTCACGAGAGCCTGCAGAAGTTCCATCCTGACTCCCGGCACAGCCCCTGTGCGACCCCAAACCCAGGCGTAAAGTACTCCAGCAACTTCTGCCTCGCAGCCTTGCCTATGGCTGTCGTGGCTGGTTCTTGGAGAGCAATAGCTCTCCAAGCAGCCGGTGTACCATGCGCTCTGCCATTCTGCAGTGATCGACAAGCCTGAGCAAGTTCAGCAAGCAAAGGGATACACCCAACCCCATCGACTTGTCCCTCACCAGCCGGCGCGACACGCAGGTCACTTTGTTGGGTGCCTGCGTCTCGCTTGTTTCCGCTGGGTCAACAATCATCTCACCAATGAAAACTGGCGCGTTGTGCGATGCTTTGACCTTTCGGCCTTGTTTGAGCACGGCCCTAAGGAGCTTTGCGATTTCATGCCGCTTCTGCGCTCTCAACAATATGTCTTGTGAACCGGGCCTCGTCTTGTACAAGTGCAATCTTCAATCTCGCAACGACCTTTTGCAACTCCTTCACAACACACGCGCACGCAAGCCTGCATGAGTACATCCTACCATCGAAGCTTCTGCAACAGCTGCTGCCATGCCCACGCTGACCACGACCGTGTTCAAGCTGCGCACAGCCCCCGTTCAAACGCCAAGCCGTGAATGCCGTAGCAATGATTTCCTTGTCAGCAGCACCGTGCATGTGTCTCAACCGCTTACGCAGCGAATGCTTGTCACAAATGAGGTGCCGCTACTAATGAATTCCTTGCGTGGCTTGTCATGAACAAGGGAGAAACAAGGCTGTAGCCACTTGCTAAGTTCGTCATGCAAAAACTCTGAATGGGTTTCAACATCAATCCACCAAGGCACCGCAGGCATGCTACTGAAAATGTGAACCAGTTTGTCATGATTTTCAGGTTGCCTTCAAACCTGCATGTCGATTTTGGCTCAGGTTGGCTTGGATTCCCTCCTTCGCTTCATGTGCAAACAGGCTGCCAGAGCTTCATGATCCCACTCAGATGTGAGATGGGCCTGGTCGTTGAGTTGCCCAAGCGTACAGAATGCGCCAGCAGCCTGCTTTGGTACAAGGATTCAGTCTGAGACACCCGATTGAAGCCTGGGACTGCGCCAAGTAACAACTGGTCTTCCACGGATATCAAAGCGCTCAGTGCAAGTAAGATGGAAATTTCCAATCAAAGTGAGCATGTTCTCAGCAAGGTCTCCGCCAACAGATTTAATCCCTTCAGCACACTTAATAGGGCTAAATTTATTGGAGGCATGCAGCTGTCGTTGGACCTTGCCAAAGCTTTTGACAAGATGCCACGCCACCTCCTTTTAATGGCGCTGGAGCGCATCGCACTGCCTGAAGTCCTCATCTCCTTAATACTCTACATCCACGACAATGCGACCATGAAGTTTCAGAAAGTTGAAAGTCATTCTTCTGGCTTTGGCGGGGCAGTCTTATAACAAGATCACGGGCCCATACGTACAAAAGCGCAAGAAGGACCGCTTCCTTAAGGTTGTCACCAACACAGGCCCTGTCCAGCTTCCCATCAAAACCTCCCACAAGTATCTAGGGGTCATGATAAGCTATCAGCGCTTTGAGAGGTTGACAATGCAGTATCGCCTGCAACAGTCATGGCAAGCCTTTCACAGACTTTCCAGCTTTCTTTGTTCAAAGAAAATTTCCTTAGCCCAGCGACTGAAGTTGTGGAAAACGTGCGTTCAGTCCATTGCAAGGTACGGCTTAGACTCAGTAGGGCTGGATGAAGTCAGTGCTAATAAGTACAGGGCGCATACTGCTCGGCAGCTACGCATCATTTCAGGCAGCCTTGGACATCTCACCCACGAGACCAACGCTGCTTTGCACGGCAGGCTCCAAATCCCTGACCCTGTAATGGCCCTGTACGAGATCATACAAAAGAGAGCACGTAAAAGCAAACAGCATCTTGCTCACCTACAGCCAGCAGCAGTACAGAGGTTCTCTTACTTCTAAGCGAAGTTTCCTTGCTCGCTCAAAACACCCAACAACAGAAGGGAGAACTCACAGAGGTCACACAGGTT